TTCGTCCGTCTCGCATGGATTCCCCACAGAGAGACAAGACACAGAAGAAGAGGAGGAACGGAGAAACAGAAAAGGGTACGTAAGGAAGATTTTTCTTTTTCCCTCCTCTTGTGGAGAGGGCTTTAAAATCGAGGAAGTTAAAGATTATTGCAGTAATTCAATCAGAATGCTGAGCAGAATACTAGATGTTTTATTTACATCTTCCCTTCTGGGTTTTGCTGACGGGCCTGCCAGAATTATAGGGGAGTAATGGCAGAGTTGTTGCTGGATTGATTGAGCAGTTGAGTTGTGCACTGTCACAGCCCTGCTGTGAAATGTCATTTCTAGTCCTGCTCTGGGCATTGCACATCCCCACACCCCACTGCCCCAGAAAGAGCCCTGAGCAATGTGTGAGGGACACGATCTCCCCTCCCAGGAATCTGGGCGTCAGAACTTGGCCTTTTGTCTTAATGTAACACATCCAGTCTTAGTAAAAGTCAGTGCCTTCTTTTCCTTGCCTTTGTCTCCCTGTCACCAGTGCCTCCAGTTTTTTGTTCTAACAAGGCACCAGGGAGTCTTTGTCAGTAATGACCCTCTGTGGGACCCATTAACTCTCCAAGAGACTTTGGAGTTTTCACCTGACTTTGCCTTCCTGAGAGGTTTCTTCAGCTTCCTCTCAGAGTCTGAGCTTGATGGACTTGGCACCAAAAATCCACCAGATGGATCATTAAATTGCCTTGGGCAAAGCACAGCAGGGCTGAGGGCACTGCCTGTGGGCACCAAGAGGACAGGAGGTGGGCACAGAGAGCTTAAAGGCAGTCAAAACTGGGAGGATGGCAGAGAGCTCACTGAAGGAGGAATCTTCAAAGCCTTTGACTCGGTAAATCACCAGGTGCAGGGCAATGCAGATGCAGTTCCCTGAGGCATCTCCTGGAGCTGGCAGAGCCATAGCTTATGGAATGTGTAAGGTGGACTCCCTGTCCCAAGACTGCTGTTAGGTAAGTGTGAATGGCTGTGACTGCAGGGGTGCCGGCAGGGGTGCCCCAGGCTGTCCTTGGAGCAGGGTCCCTGCACAGTGCCAGAGACTGTGTGCTGGGGCAGGGACTCTGCTGCCTGCTGGGGTTAGCTCCAGTCTTTCCAGGGAGCTCTGCATGGTGATGGGGGAGAAAATATGGAGGGAAGGAGTGGCCCCTTGGCAGGGGAGGGCAGGGCTGTTCTGCTGATGAGAAGGTGCTGCATGGATCAGGGCTGCTAACAGCTCCAGGTCAACCCCTGGGACTTTTTCCAGGGGACTTTTCAAGAAAAACATCATGAGGGGCTACCTGTGAGTAAAGGTGCTTGCCAGGGTCCATGCTGTCACTTCCCAGCTGCAATGGTAGGTGGAAAATGTCATGAAGCTGTCAGATTTGCACTGGAGACTGAGACTCCTACAGCATTACAGTGAGTGATGAACACATTTCACAAGGAAACACATAAAGTCACATAGAACACAGAATCATAGAACAGTTTTAGTTGGAAGATACCTTCAAGATCATTGAGCCCAACCTTTTTTCCAGCCCTATCAACACCACTGAACCTTGTCCCTCAGCACAACATCCACCCGTCTCTTAAACCCCTCCAGGGATGGTGACTCAACCCCCTCCCTGGGCAGCCTGTTCCAACATCTGACAACCCTCTCAGTACAGATATTCTTCCTAATATCCAACCTGAACCTCCCCTGGTGCAATTTAAGGCCACTTCCCCTTGTCCTATCACTCGCCACTGGGGAGAACAGACCAACCCCTGCCTCACTACAGCCTCTTTGCAGGCAGTTACAGAGAGCAATGAGGTCTTCTCGTCTCTAGGCTAAACAGCCCCGGATCCCTCAGCTGTTCCTCGTACGACACATGCTCCAAATCCTTTACCAGCTTGGCAGCCCAACTCTGTACCCTCTCCAGCACCTCAGTGTCTCTCCTGTAGTGAGGGGCCCAAAACTTGACAAAGGACTCAGGTGCAGCCTCACCAAAGCCGAGCCCAGGGGAAGGATCACCTCCCTGCTCCTGCTGACAACACCATTCCTGACCCAGGCCAGGATGCCCTTGGCCTCCTTGGCCACCTGGGCACACTGCTGGCTCATGTTCAGCTGGCTGTCCATCAACAACCCCAGGTCCCTCTCTGCCTGGCAGCTCTCCAGTCACTTCTCCTCAAGCTCAACCTTCACTCTACCTACAAAAGCATTCACATCACCTTTTCAGCTTCTTGATCTTTTCAGGGTTTATCTGATCTCTTTAGGGCTTGCCAACAGGGACGCACCCTTGGAGCAGTGCCTTGCTGCCAGGAGGGGTCTGCAGGGCAGAGCTGAGCCCCCAGCAGCTGGGATGGGCTCTGGGAGCAGGGACAGGGAGGAGACCTGGGCACAGAGGAGGAGATCCTGGCAGGGACAGCTCCAGGCAGCAGAGCCGGGGGCGGGGGCTGGCAGGGAAAACTGCAAACCAGCCCCGGGAGGAAGCTCCCTTCAGGCAGCTCTCTTCTGGTCCTTCACTGTAGATGCCTTCTGGATGCCATCTGCTGAAAAATGACTTCACTCTCTGCTTAAGACATCCCATCTTCAAGACAGATATCTGACTGTCTGCATTGACCATCCAGCTTACGAGCTGCCCCTATAAATGCACAGGTCTCCCGTAGGAACCTAGGTTTGTTAATCTCTTCTCAGACTCTTGCTTTTCTCTGAGAGAGGCCCAGGCCTCATCCTGCCCTCTCCATCACAACCTCTGCGCAGCAAAAAGAAGAGTTTGTTGGTCTGCCCTTTGAGACAAGACTCCCCCACTTTCACCAGAGTCCGGTTGCTTTTGTTATCAAGGGTAGTGTGTGTTTGCAGTAATCATCAAGGTAGCAGAAGTGAAAGCCCAGGGCTGCTGGGAACAAGAGTGACCGACACTGCAGCTCTTCTGACTCAGCACTGACCCACAGAGAGTTGAGTCCTTTTGCCTGTCTTGGCTCAGGACTCCACACTTTCTGTCACAAAAATAAGGATTTCTTCTCCTCAAAATAGTACTCATGAGACATGATGGTGAAAAATAAATGCCAGAAAATGTATGATAAAGACATGCTAAGCCTCTCTTCTGCAGCCCACACTCTTTGGAGACATGAGTGCAGATACTGAGCATTTGCATTAAGCTTGAATAGCATCTGACATCCCGTGTGAGTATCAGAGGTGTCAAGAACCAGCTCCCATGCACTCACTGCAGCAGGGCAGAGCTGGCTCCTTGGCAGCATGTGGGCAGAGATCCTGCTCCTCACAGTGTATTCAGCCAGTACAAAGCGAAGGAAGGAAACGCTGTGGGATTGAGGGGTGATTACATGAAAGATAGGGTGGCTTTGCTAAGAGAACTCTGTTGTAATTTCACCCTGATTTTTTCTTTTTTTTTAAGGACAGTGGACCCATGCCAAGAACCAGCAAATGTCCAACAGCAGCTCTATCACCCAGTTCCTGCTCCTGCCATTCGCAAACACGCGGGATCTGCAGCTCTTGCACTTCTGGCTCTTCCTGGGCATCTACCTGGCTGCCCTTCTGGGCAACGGCCTCATCATCACCACCATTGCCTGGCACCACCACCTCCACACCCCCATGTACTTCTTCCTCCTCAACCTCTCCGTCCTTGACCTGGGCTTCATTTCTACCACTGTTCCCAAAGCCATGGCCAATTCCCTTTGGGACACCAGGGTCATCTCCTACAGTGGATGTGCTTCTCAGGTTTTTTTCTTTTTTGTTCTGATGTCAGCAGAGTTTTATCTTCTAACCATCATGGCCTATGACCGCTACGTGGCCATCTGCCAACCCCTGCACTACGGGACCCTCTTGGGCAGCAGAGCTTGTGCCCACATGGCAGCAGCTGCCTGGGCCAGTGGGTTTCTCACTGCTCTCCTGCACACGGCCAGTACATTTTCACTGCCCCTCTGCCAGGGCAATGCTGTTGGACAGATCTTCTGTGAAATCCCACAGATCCTCAAGCTCTCCTGCTCACACGCCTACATCAGGGAAGTTGGGCTGATTGTGGTTAGTGTCTGTGTAGCATTTGGATGTTTCGTTTTCATCGTACTGTCCTATGTACAGATTCTCAGGGCTGTGCTGAGGATCCCCTCGGAGCAGGGACGGCATAAAGCCTTTTCCATGTGCCTCCCTCACCTGGCTGTGGTCTCCCTGCTTATCAGCACTGGCATTTTTGCCTACCTGAAGCCCCCCTCCCTCTCCTCCCCATCCCTGGACCTGGTGGTGTCAGTTTTGTACTCGGTGGTGCCTCCAACAGTGAACCCCCTCATCTACAGCCTGAGGAACCAGGAGCTCAAAGATGCAGTTCGAAAACTGGTGACTACATGTTATTTTAGACACAACGTAGTGTCCACCTTCTGCAACATATCATTTGTCACATAACTCATTACAGACTCAACCTGTCTATTATATGCACTGTGGTTGTTGATATTATTGTTGGTAATTTTTTTTTCAGACTTCTGATAATGTTGTCCACAAAGAATTTTCATTATTCACACCATCTCAAATCCTTTATCTGTTATCTCATTTAACCCAGAACAGTTTAAATTAATTTCCATACCCTCTCCACATTTCAACATTAAAAAGAACCTTACAGTGATATTTTTATCCAAGATTTTTCCTCTGAGACCTTCTCTGGAGCTGCAGAGGCAGTGCCTGTGTGAAGAGCCCCTGCACAGCAGATCTCTGACAGAGTTGGCCTCTGTAACAGCATTTCCATCACAAAAGGGCATCTCCTCAGGTTTAGGTCTTTTTCTGAAGTTGTTCTCCAGAATATGCCTCAGTAATAGACTCTAAAGAGGATTCTTGCTTTGCTTATTTCTCCATGGGCTTAGTGTGATGAGTCCCAGAATGGTCTTTCAGGTGTCGCTGTTTTCAAAGGGAAACGTCGAAAAACAACAAAACTTATCTACACATAGATATGTAGGCACTTCTTTATTGAAGCACTGGGAAGCATAGATAAGTTTCGTCATTTTTGCAACCTTTCCCTTTGAAAATAGCAACAGTTTTGATGACCCAGATGGGACTGACAGCAGGACCTTGCGAGTGAGACTGGATGAGATTAAGCACTGATCAAACTCCCACCGGTACTGAGGAATTCTCGGGAAGAAACATCACCTTCAACTCTTACAGCTCCTCGCAACGTTCTCTGGACGGTAAGGCACGTCTTTAAAATTTAGGGGGGCCTATCTTGGTGAACTAACCTGTAAGTTGCGGTGTCGGTGACCCTGCTTGATTGGGCTCAGGAAGCCCAGGAGCCTGCCAGTCAGACGAGTGAAATTTCCGCATGGTTGTGCTGGGAAATTCCCCGTATTTGGAAGCCTAGGCACTGCCTGTGAGGCGAACGCGAAAGCGACCACAGGGTTGGCAGTTGTATTTGCATTGATATTTGTATTTGCATTGGTATCAGCATAAAGCAGGTCCGCGTATGCATGAAAAGTGTATGCATAATAAGGTACCTTATTGGTTTATGCTGTAATCTGTGTTTTTGCAAACTTTGTGAGGGTGTGAGATTGAGACGTGCGATTCCACACGAAGCAAGTGTGGAGCTTTGATCCACTTCCGTCACCCCATGAGGGGAGTGGCCAGAGACGAGTGAAGTGTAAGGACGAAACGATTGTGAGATAAAAGAGGAAAATGTTGAAATTTCCTAAGTTATTCAGAAGAAATCAGGAGTCCATCCCCAAAACCTTACCTCTGGGATGTCTCCTAGTACACTGGAAGGAGTTAAAGGAGGACTTTTGAAAGGACAGGCTTATTGATAATTGTAATCATGAATGGTTATTATATGATTTAGAAGATGGTGAAAAATGGCCTCTGAATGGGACTTTGAATTATAATTAATGTTATTTTGTAGAAGGGAAGGGAAACGGGACAAGATTCCGTATGTTGATCTATTCTTTTACCTTTGAGAAAAGTCAGAATGGCAGAGAGATTGTAACATGAATGATCAGGCTTGTAACAAAGAAATGCCTCTACGAGCAAAAGAAAAGAAAGTAGGAGAAAATTGTTTAGCCTGTGCCTCCACCAAAATGTGCTGTAAGCATCTGGCTTTAAAAGAAAAAGGAACAGGACTATATGGGGCCTGAATTAGATACAGCACCATCAGCTCCTATAGCTCCTGTTCCGATTTATCCCCCCCACCATCCTCCTTTTGAAGCTGAACCTGACTCTGGTGCTGATTCTCTGAACAGGAGGGCAGCATCAGAACCTGATGTGTCAGGGTTTGGGCCGGGTAGTGCTGGATTGGAGGAAGAATCTCTCGAATTGGATTCTTCCCGTCCATGAGCAGGAGAACAAGACAGTGTACCCATTTGGTAACTCCGTTAAGATCACAAACTGGGAAATGGTTGATAGCTCCCTTAAGGCAGGGAGTGGGGCAACGGGGACTGGTATATGTAAAAATACCCTTTCCGCCCTTGGACCTTAGAGTCTGGAAAGAGACATTCGGTCCCTATAGAGAGGATCCTGGCAAAGTGGGGAGAGTAATAGGGATGATAATTAAAACACAGAATCCAGATTAGGATGACATACAGGTGATTTTGGACATCCTTATGGATTCCACTGAAAAGCAAATGGTTTTATGGACTGCCAGGATGAGTGCAGAAGAGGATCTACATACTGGGACTATTACTGGCACCATAAATCAGAATTTTCCTACTGGGGATCCGCAGTAGGAAAACCGAGACGAGCATATGGAAAGATTAAAAAGACACCAGCAGTGGATCCTGTATGGTGTTCAAAATGCCATGCCCAAAACCATAAATTGGTCCAAACTATATGATATTAGACAGGAAAAGAAAGAATCCTCAACTGCATTTTTAGAAAGATTAAAGGAAGCAATCTGTCAATATCCAGATTTGCGACCAGAGGCTGAAGAAACTAAGGCACAATTGGCATTAATATTTTTAGGGCAATCCCAGGAGGATATAAGAAAGAAACTTCAGAAATTGGAAGAAGTGGAAATGCAAAATTTGGACAGACTATTTGAAACAGCCTGGAAAGTTTACAATATCTGAGACAGAGAGACTGAAATGAGAAAACAGAGACAATTGCTTGCAGTAATGACAGGAACACCAGGAGTTGCCAACCGGGGACAGGGGTGAGGATGAGGGATGGTAGGAGGAGGAACGAGAGGAGGTAGTAGGGGACAAATTAATCGAACCCCTCTCAAAATAAATCAATGTGTCCACTGCAAAGAAGAAGGACATTGGAAAAATGAATGTCCAAAATTAATTAATCAACAAACGGCAACTAATATGATGGTTTTGGGAGAATGTACACAATGACTGACACTGGACGTGAACCCAGCTGAGCCTCTGGTTACAATAGAGCTGGGAGAAAAAGAAGTTACATTACTGGTGGATACAGGCGAGACTTTTTCTGTGTTAAACGAACCAGCAGGAAAACTGGGGAAAAGGATGGCTGAGAT